CGCACCTCCCTATGCCCACCCACCACGCTAGCCTCTCTCTGGTTCTCCCTCTCCCCGCGATCCCCTCGCCGCCACGCACCACCACCGCCGCGCTCCCCACCCCCTCCCCCCCACTCTCCACGCCTCTCCTTTCCACCGATCCTGCGCTCCCTCCCCTCCCCCTCCCCCGCTTTCGGCAGCAGGTGAGGGGGTGGGCATACTCCAAGCGGAGAGGTCAAGGGGAGAGGAGCTCTGGAGTGAGCCATTTACGGGCTCTGGTTAGAGGCGTTTGCACCTACTAGAGTCCTCCCTGTTAAACAACCTGAAGACTCCCAAGAAGGTGGTGGGAAACCCACTGGGTGCAGGTGGGCTGCCTTGGAAGCCACTGGGGTTGGCCGGGCAACCGAAAGTTAGGAAGAAAGCTGGCGTGCCTCTCGGTGGAGGGCAGACTGAGCGCGGTGGCAAGTCTTCAGTCCTGCCTGTCACACCGGGCAACTCATTCTTTCTCCAGACTCCCTCCACCCTTCCTCAAAACACCGGAAATGAAAAATAAAACAGGTAAATTTTCGTCTGGTTTTAACTTTTTACTTGGAAATAATTTCAACCTTACACAAAAGTTAGAATAAGAATAGGACAAAGAACACCTTTTCACCCTTTGTTTAGATTAGAATTGTGCGTCATTGGCTTTATCATTTGTATTCCCTCCAACCACCGTCACCCCCAATAGATCCATCACTGTCTGTCAATCACTATCATCTGTCTTTCTGTCTGGTGGGGAACAGCAGTAGAGACAGGATCTGGACTCTAGGTGAGAGCTAGGCTCCGGGTCAGATCTAGCCTCCAGGTCAGGTCTAGACTCTGGGTATGCAGCTTGGGATCTGGAAGCTTATTGACTCTGGGCCCAACTTGACAACATTTAATTGCTCAATATTTGAAGCTGGACAAGCCAACTTTGAGCCAAGTGACCTTGCAGGTAGGAACGATGATACCTGCCCTTCACCTCGAGGGTCACTGTGAGAATCAGGGTGGTTCCCGTACACAGACAGCCTATGCTCTCAACATCAGCTACTTCAGGTACAGGCAACACACAAGCTCTCTGTCTTGTTGGAGTTCGTAGTCCAGCAGATGGGGGTGTGTGATGCGGAGAGAAAGTGTAATAATAGCAAGATACAGGCAAATGGGAGGAGGAGGAGTGGGAGGAGCTTGGAGGAGTAAGTGTCTAAAGGAGACTGAAAAATGGTGAAGACTGAGAGATCAGGTGGGAGCCTCTCAGCTCATGGCAGACGCCACACAAGGTTCTTTATATTCTGACTGTTCTTCCCTTGTTCAAAATTCCCACTGGTGTTGGGATGGGTAGCACTTGTCCATTAAAGGCTACTCTGTTTCTTTGGGGTAAATGCCCATTCTCCCAGGAATTTTTCCACTTCCCCTCGCAGGGGGAGACTACGTCCTCAAGGCAGGGGGTGAGGAGCTCCTCGGTGGTGCCTGACGTGGTGGGGCTGGCGGTCTTGTTCCTGGGCCTCTGGCACTGGCCCCCCTAAGGTGTGGCAGCCTCCTGGCTGTGCCATGCTGACATCCGTGGAAGCCTGGGTCCCTGCCCACGGCTCTGGTCCCAAGGGCCCCACCTCTGTCCCCTCAGGCCTCTTCCACCCATGACCAGGGTGCCCTCAGCACCTGCATTGGCCTGTGTTCCAGGAGGGGTTGGCCCTGTGAGGCACTTGTCAGCTGCCCTCCCTACCCTCCTGCCTGGACACCCTTACCTTCCCTGGTGCTCCCACACCTGCAGCTTCCCCGGATTTCCAGGCTGAGCTCTGAGTGAAGGATCAGATCTCTGACAGTGAATGCTGACCGACTCCTTGTGTGCTGTGCCTACAGTCAGAAGGCCGGAAACCCACTGATTCGTGGTGGGGGGTGAAATCACCTCAAAAATAAATGCTGCGCTGGCACTTCACACTTTGTTGGAAAGAGGAAGTAAACTTCACACATACATGACTATCTGAGGTCCATCTGGTCCCTCTGCCCCATTTAGATCCGTAGTCCTGGGGACCACATCTGCTTGGGTGGAGGGGACACCACAGCATGAGCCATTTTTACCTTGTACCTATGAAGAATCACAGCCTTTGCCTCTGTCCCTCTTCATGTCTTTACAAAGCCTGGAGTCGAGACTTGAAGGAGAAATTTCCTTCCTTCTCCACCTAAAAGAGCCAGGGTGTTGGAGAATGCTGTCAGCTTGGAGTCCTTTGCCCACCCACAACTGTGAGTTGGGGGTCTGCAGGTGGTCTGAGCTCGGACCCTGGCCTTATGCCTCCTGGGTTCCTGGAAGCAAAAGGAGAGCCCATCTTCTGTGGCAGTTTCCTGTTCCTGCGGGCACACGACACCCCAGGATTTGGCGCCCCAGCACTCAGGCTGCGCTGCGGCCCAGACCTAGGGCCCACGGTGTGCTCATCACGTAAGACTGAATCAATTCCCCAGGCTTTGGAGTAGAATTCCTAATATGTGCTTGGCCTACTTCTCAAGACGATTATAAAGATAAAATCAAATACCAGCCATGGAAAACCTTCACAAACATTTCTAAAGTATACAGACAGAAAGTGCTGCCTTGGAGATGTGCCCTCTCGGCCTGCTGCCTGCTCTGAGCTGCCTGGGGGACACAGGCAGAGCCCAGGCCCTGGTTCAGGTTGGGTCGGCGACCTGCACGTCTGCCCCGTGTGGCTTCCAGCCCCTCCTGTTTTCAGCTGTGAGGATCTGTCCTGTGAGATGGATTCATTAGTGCAGACCTCTCTTACAGCTGCAGCCCTGCAAGACCCCGGCCGGCTGGGCCCTTTTTTGGTGTTGGTCTCCTGGGGTTAGGAGCTGTGGGCAGCAGTGGCGGGTGCGGTGGTGTCTCTTCTCTCCCCGCTTCACCTCTGCCCCCTTCACCACTGCAGCCAGGGCACCTCCAGGCTCAAAGGGCGGGTGGAAGAAGCCAGAAAGCCCTCCTTCCTGGCACAGCTGGGGTCACTTTTGGAGGATCCTCAGGCCTCTCCTGCCCCAGTGTCGCTGTAGCCCCTCAGACAGGGGAAGGGTCCCCTAAGGATGCCTGCTGCTCCCAGAGGTTTCCCTTTCCGCTCCAGACACCCTCTTGGGGGAGGACTTTCAGATGGTCCATGGTGTCAGCATCAGGCTAATGAGACTACAAACCCACCCTGCGCTTGGCCGCCCAGCACAGCCTCTTCTCCCAGCTCCGGCTCCGCAGCCGGGCAGCCAGCCAGCGGCCGCACCTTTAGATTCCCGGGAGAGGCCCAGAGCCCGCCCTCCACCCGCAGGGGACACAGGCCAAGCTCCCCAGGCAACCTCACTTGGCTTGAGGGAGGGGAAGCACCCTAGCTCCCTCACAGAGAAGGGAAATGTTGAGCCCAGTGGACACTCGCCACTAAGAACCTGTCCTGCTGGCGCCTCCTCTGTCACAGCTGGAGGGGGGCTCCGGGTGGCACCCACAGGCCTTCAGCGTCACGCTCTCGGCAGACCTCCCCATGGGTGGTCCAGCACCTCACTTTGAAATGTGGGCACTTGATCATAACCATATAGGCCTTTGGGCTTAAATGTTGACA